GAAATTGGGCATAACCATTGAAAGAATTATGTATCTCACCATGGTGGGAGAACTTATTAGAACAAATTCCTTTTCAAGGGTTGTGGACATTGTTGAAGCAATGGTTGGGGCAGGCCTGTCATTAGGGTCAGAACTAACTGCTCTTCTGATTCATCGGCTTGGCTGCGCTAGAGAGCTTGCTTCTGCTGAAAAGTTATTTAGCATCTTACCTGATCAGCAGAAGAGTATTGCTGTATATACAGCTTTAATAAATACCTACTTCACCTTTGGGAATGCTGATAAAGGGCTTGAAATATTCGAAACCATGAGAAAGCTAGGGATAAATCTGGCATTAAGTACTTACTGTGTCCTATTGAATGGTCTTGAAAGAAATGGCTTATTTGATAAACTACAATCTTATAGGAAAGAAAAGAAGAGATTTGAATCTGAAAGCTGCAGTAGGGAGATGTCAATGGAGGAAACAGTCTGCGATCTTCTTTTTGCTGGAAATTTTGACAGTTGAGATGCTAGATATGGATATATGGACTCTTTTCATGATTGATTGGAGTATTTGGAGTACAAATTAGCTGTTGGTACGTTGCTTGTGCTGTCTATCGTGTGTTCAAATTTACAGAAATGGGGTATGCTTAGTATGGAATCCCGCATACTGAAACAGAATGCGGGATAGGTAATCTCGTATGGATCATATTAAAATGTTCTCTCGTTGACAAGTTTAGCTTATCTTTAGAAGCTGTAGCAGCTGGAATGATTGGTCAAATGGGGCTTGACAGCTTGATTATTCTCATGCAACATTATGGCCTTAAAGAGGTATATTTTCTAACTCTACTTCTTGAATGGGGCCTATAAAGTTCCACAGTTATTGTTCTCCACATGTTTCTAATTTGGAAAACATTCCAAACCTTTTCTTTTGCATTTTTCTTTTAGGCTTGAAGTAATTATATTCAACATAGTTCTATGAAGTGAGGATAAGGTTGCTTATCATTCGTTTGGTTTTATATGTTATCGGTTCGGTTTATCAGTTATCGGTTTGTTAGCATACTAAACCAATAAGATATATGTTATCCTTTAATCAGCGGTCCTTAATGGTTCCGTTATCGATTTTAAAACCGACAAGAAAATGTCTTCTAGGGACAAAACCAACTTTGTCCTCTATGTTCTCCCCTTTCCCTTCTTGTTTCCATTTATTAATATGCACTTTATTTAACAATGTTAACTTCTAAGAGGCAGGACAGAAGAATTTCACACCCTTGTCAGTGAGTTGCAGTGGTGTATGAGACCTCCATGTTTTTCTCTTGATCTATAAGAAGCATTTAAGCTGGACAGGTGGATGTCATTTTTTCAATAACTAGGATTTTTGAATGCCTGCACACTTTCGTTAGTTCACAATAGTGTTTACTATCATTGGAACTCTACGATAGCTTCTTTTTGCTTTGTGTCTATGACAGCTCTGGTTGGGAAGTGCTAATCATATTCTGTTATCCTTCAGTTGAATCATCCAAATCCCTAAGTGGCACTCATCAACAGATTTTATTAAAGTATTTCTGCTTGAAGTGGTGTCTAATATTTCCTTTATTTATGCAAAATATGCCTGTTGTAAAATGGTGACTCTGGATGCTCGTCAAGTTTGTCGTGTGTATTTTTGAGTCTGCTATTGGGCAAAAATCAGCATTACAAAGAAAAAATTTGTGCTTGCAGTAAGAGCTTTGATCTTTGGTGCTATTTGGGTACTTTTTGGGAAGCGCGTATGGTTTTTCCCCTACATTCTGGCCGAGGAAGCAACACTGCAAGATTTGTTCCAGGTTTGGCCTCAGAAGGATGAAGCCGAGCGACCTAAGTGGACAGCAATGCTTTTCTACGCAATAGTAGCTGTGGTTGTTATTTTGCTCCTGAGGCATCATGCTCCTGACGAAGCTGCAAGAGCCAGGTTTGCTTTCTTGTATTTTAATCTCTTTAGCCTGGGAGTTCACTTGAAGAAATATAACAAAAACCAAGCCGCATATTTTGAGCTTTCATGAAACCAAATCCCTATGAAGCTAGATGCCGCATCTTCAAAAAGACGTACTTCAGTAGCAAATAATCTGCAGTTTTTGTGTCATACTTTGAGAATCAATAACCTAAAATCCCAAGAGCCAGCAATTCGGTGTCATCTTCTCTCATTCTGCGAATACAATTCTCTCTTTCTATCGCGCTGAAAAAGAATTTCTTTATTATCAACTGTTGCAGGCAGTGGCGGATCCAGGATTTAGAGTCTGTGGGTGCCAAATGGGATTCGAACCCGCAATATCAACCTTCCAAAGTTGTCCTCCTACCGTGGCACCACAAGCCAATTTTGTTCTGTGGGTGACACGCTTTATGTTTATATAAATATTATATATATATACCTATGTATATATAGAGTTTCCGTCGAAGTTCGGGGGTGGCGTGGCACCCCCGCTGCCCTTCATAGATCCGCCACTGGTTGCAGGTATCAGAAACGAGTTTCCAACATTATCGATGATGTGCTCGAGTGGTCTCCCAGACAGGCTCTGTCAGGGATGATGGATACCATTGTCAATGCCACCGACTCAAATGATAATGCAACTGATGATAGCAAAACTGGCAGTGACAAAGTTGCTTTCACAGATGACTTAGACGAAGAAACCGTTCTGAAAGAAGAGAGTGAGGATGCTATTGGAAACGTAGAAGATAGTGATCATCAGCAACGTGACTTGTAATTTATATAAATGTTGGAACATATGCTTCAAGATTATTATTTTTCTTATTTTGTATCATGTTTTATCGTCTTTGTTAATTCTCGTTTGTGGTAAAGTATATTGCAGAACTCTATTTTGGGGCAACTTAACTGCAACTGCAGAATTTGAGAACCAAAGTTGAGTTCCCTACGTAATATTTTGAAGCTTGGTTTCAAGACTTCAAATCTACAATTTAAGTCTCTTGCCACTTATAAAAGAGGGAAAAAGGTTTGATATATTCTCAATTTTACTAATTTGAACCTGATATATCCCTCGTTTTAAAAGTGATTCACAAAGTTGAGGGATATTATTAAAGTCAACGTGGTATAACAAAATGTTACCGCAGCGTTTGGTCTTGTTCTATTTGTGAAATTTGAAAAAAAAAATTGAAAATTGAAGTTGTGTTACGATGAATGTAAATTTGAGATGTTTTTTGATTTGTTGCGAGTAATTTTGAGTGAGAAAAGTGTAAATACATTCTTTTTTTTGTTATTTTTCGAATTCTTAAATTTTTTTGAATTCAACGTTAAATTTCCAATTCTTATAGTCAAGCGTGTAATTTGAAGATTAACTTCGGAAAAAAGGAAATTGTTTAAGGGTTAAACACCTATTTCAATTTTCAACTAACAACACAACACGTGTTTTGTTTAAGTGTCTACTTATGTACCCTCAAAATTGAAGGGCAAGTCAACTAAAGCCAAGTTAAAGGGCATATTTATGTATTCTGGCTCCTAAATATTTCAAAGATAATTAAAATTGTGTGGTGTGTGTGGAGGGTTGTTAAGGCAGCAAAACAAACATATTTTTTGTGACATCTTTGTCTAATAAGGTATCTAACAAAATTCATGTGTTTTTACAAGTGGTGGGACTTAGCTTGACATATCTCGTATAGACCAACATCGCTTGCACAAATTATGTGCAGAAGACTCTTAATTACATAGTGTGATATTATTCGTTTTGAGAAAAACTTGCATAATTTCCCCCTAAATGTCTCTCATCATTAAGAGTATCACTACTCTGCTTATCTCCAAATTATCTCTGTGCTTTACCACTTCCAGTTCCAAAATTGTGGAAAATCTTATTCTTGAAAAGTAATTAACAAACATTGAACATGTTCATGATCAATTAATTTCCAGCTTTAGGAATATGACATATTAAATTAAAATTATTAATAACACATCAATTGAACACTAATCTATTCTCTTTTCATTTATCCTAAATTCTAATATTTCTACAAAATTTTATAACTTCAACTATTTTGATAAATATTTGAATTGAGCTTGATAAACACAAGGTCTATCATGATTCATGAGGAGGAGATAAGAAGTGGGAAAACAAAGTAAAATGATTTTTGATTTTTTTGTAGTAGGAATTTTCTTTTTCATCTTTTTTTTTTTTTTTGTAGTAGAAAGGGAATGTTGTGTGTATGGTTGTTAAAGAGAGCCAAAACAACTTTTTATGTGATATCCTTGTCTATGATAAGGTACTACACAACATACATATTGTGTAACACACTGAAATTGACATAGAATGACTAGGTGACCTTCCTAGAATTGATTACTCCAAGGCTAAAACTAAATGTGCATCATAAATTGGAAAAAAGAGATATATATACTCCTCAACTTTGTGATCTAGAGAAAATATAAACCTTGTTAATTAAAAAGTGATGCATAGATGTCCTCGTCTTCAAATAATTAGCGAATATTTATCTTTTATCATTAACAAAGACTTATAATTACTGAACTAAAAAAAATTCATTTATATAATCCAAAAATGACATGTGGCTTTTAAAAAATACCTCATCCATTTTTTTTACCCCTCCGATCCTAACCCGATCCGAATGAAAAAAATCTCAATTTCTCTACTACTCAATCTTAAAATGGATTTGGGTCGAATCTGAATAAAAGAGGACCTATTTTTTTTAGTTAGGTCAGGTTCGGAGGGATAAAAAAACGGGTGAGGTAAATTTTTAAAGGCGCATGATAGTTTTGAAATTAAAAATCCAGTTTTAGGACTTATTTATTTTTTAAAATCATTATGTCAAGGAGAGTGGTAAATATAAACCATTTGTTAGATGTCGTGAATATATAAACACCATTATTTAAATGATGGTGTATATGCATCACGTTTTTAATAAGAGGTATATTCGCTCTAAATTGCAAAGTTGGGGAATATATTTTTTCTTCGTAAAATTCTTTGCTTAATTTGTTCTATATATACCTCATCAAAATTATTGAATAGAGGAACAAAACAGACATTTATTCTCTACCAACTTAATTAGTTTTGAACATTTTAGTGCAGAAATGAGTTACGTAAAACTTGTATTTTTTATGCTATTACCCTTCCTCTGTCAACTTGCTTTCTGCTCATCCATATCTCATTTGTGCCCCAAAGATCAAGCTCTTGCTCTTCTACAATTCAAGCATATGTTTACATTAAGTCCTATTGCTTCTGCTTACTGTGAGTTTTCTCATCCGAAAACTCTTTCATGGAACAAGAGCATAAATTGTTGCTCATGGGATGGAGTTTATTGTGACGAGACGACAGGACACGTGATTGAGCTTAACCTCACTTGCAGCCAACTTCAAGGCAAGTTTCATTCCAATAGTAGCCTCTTTCAACTCTCCAATCTCAAAAGGCTTGATTTTTCTGGATCGCTCATTTCACCTAAATTTGGTGAGTTTTCTAGCTTGATACATCTTGATTTGTCGTATTCAAATTTTACAGGTCTAATCCCAGTAGAAATCTCTAGTCTTTCTAAATTACAAGTTCTTAGTATCCAGAGTAATATATATTCAGAGCTTAGATTCGGACCTTACAATTTTGAACTGCTCCTTAAGAACTTGACCCGATTAAGAGAGCTCAACCTTAACTCCGTGAACATCTCTTCCACCATTCCTTTGAATTTGTCTTCTTATTTAACAAATCTAGGACTTTCAGACACGCAGATATACGGGATATTGCCCGAAGGAGTTTTCCACCTTTCCAACTTGGAATCTCTTGATTTATCAGACAATCCCCAGCTCACCGTTAGGTTTCCCACAACCAAATGGAATAGCAGTGCATCACTTATGGAGTTATATCTCAGTGGTTTGAATGCTACTGGTAGGATACCTGAATCATTTGGTCATCTACCTTCACTGCGTACATTGAGAATAGCTTCTTGTAATCTCTCGGGGTCTATTCCTAAACCTCTATGGAATCTCACCAACATAGAGGTTTTGGACCTTGGTGATAACCATCTTGAAGGACCAATTTCTGATTTCTTTAGATTTGGAAAGATGAGGTCGTTATCACTTGCAAATAACAACTTTAATGGCCAACTTGAGTTCTTATCCTTTAACAAAAGCTGGACGCAACTTGAAATGTTAGATTTTTCGTCCAATTCCCTAACTGGTCCAATCCCTTCCAATGTAAGCGGACTGCAAAACCTACAATCACTCTTATTGTCATCAAACCACTTGAATGGGACTATACCATCATGGATATTCTCCCTCCCATCATTTGAATGGTTAGACTTGAGATACAACCATTTCTGTGGAAACATTCAGGAGTTCTATTCCAAATCATTTGATGTTGTTTCTCTAAAACAAAATCAGATGGAAGGTCCTATTCCAATCCAGCAGAGCCTACGACTTCTTCTCCTTTCACACAATAATCTTAGTGGAGAGATTGCTTCAACCATCTGCAATCTGACAAAACTGGTTGTGCTAGATTTGGGCAGCAATAATTTGGAGGGAACAATCCCACTATGTTTGGGTGAGATGAGTGAACTTATGATTTTGGATTTAAGCAACAATAGTCTTAGCGGGACAATTAATACAACTTTTAGTATTGGAAACCAACTCATAATCATTCAAATGGACAGGAATAAGCTAGAGGGGAAAGTCCCAGAATCTTTGATTAATTGCAAATATTTGAAACTCCTTCATCTAGGTAACAATGAGTTGAATGACACATTTCCAAAATGGTTGGGAGCCCTTCCTGATTTGCAGATTTTAAACTTGACATATAATAAGGTTCATGGTCCCATTAAAGCTTCCAGAACTGGAAACTTGTTTGCTTACGAGAATGAAAAGGCACAAGAAAAGATATTAGTGTGTTACCTCCAGGTATTCAAGTTGATCTTTCATAATATCAATGAATTTGCTTACTTCCTTCATGCTTAAAGCTCTTAACTTTAATTCTTCTTTTTTATAAATTGCAGGATTCAAAGTCTAGTGTATACTTATCCCGCGATGCAAATAAAATCTTGTACTTTCCATTTCCCTATGAATAAAAACATGATTTTTCGTTTATCAATAGTTTGTTACATATTCAGCTTAATTATTAGTCAGCTAATTGGAAAGTTCAGTTAATAAAAATTCTTCTATTTTTCTCTTTTGTGTTGTCTGCAAATCGTACAAACTGGTGCAAGGTTAGTTAAATCTAAAGTCATCCCTCTCACCTCTATAATGTTCTTGATCGTAGCTCTATTGTCCTTCAAGAGTTTGTTTTCTTCACTCAGCGGTTATGTTGCACTCTCTATAGCCACCATTCTCTATGTTTTTTTTTTATAATCGTTTTAAATCTCGCAGTTCTAATTCATTTTTTTTTCAATATACAACTATTCATGATATCAACCTTAAAAATTATACTGCTCATTCTAAAAACAACACTATCAAATGGTAGGATTTATCGCCGAATATTAATTTTCAGGCCTAGGTTGGAGATCGAACCTAGGCATGATAATATTTTTAAAAAAAAATCAAACGAGTAGTAGACCATTAAATAGGAGAAAATTTAAGTAAACTCAAAAAAATAGTTCGATACAATAATATCATGACACTAATAATAAATGATCCTTTAATTTACTTTTTAAACACATATGCTACAATCATGAGAATGCACACATGAAAATATTTAAGTTAAATAAGATTAAAATTTATTTTTAAGAATGAATAACAAAAACTCGCATAGAAAATATAAGAAACTGAATAAGATGGAGGGTATTTTGGTAAATAAATAATTTATTCTTAGAAATAATCCAATTCATATTATTTTGAATACAACTAATCAAACAATCAATAAAAAATAATTTCTAAATAACTAATCACAGGATAACTTATTTCAACATAACTTATTTTCAAACCAAACGAACGTCCTAGAGTATCACTTACACTAAATAGTGCTCAAAATGCGGTCATTAACTGTTTTCTTCGTTAGCACTAGTACCATCCCCCTATGAATTCAAAAGAAAAGAAAATATTATTTAGAAATTAATTATTAGTTACAACAATTAATGTTGTTATGATTTTAGAAAACATATATAATAATTAATTACTCACATTAGCACGGAAAAGAGAAATACTACTATCATGATTTTCACCCTTTAAAATTTGGACCATTTGTGGCATGGGACTATTACTCGACAAGAAATCCCATTGGCTCCTCGTTTGTTCGTTCTTGAAGAACAGAAATAAACGTTGTGGTTCCTCCGGAAACCAAATGGTCTTTGTGGCACTTAATATCACACAAATAGGCTCACTAAGGTTCACTACTAAGAAACTGCTAAAAAACGACGGACAGAAAAGTGACAGACAGTGTCGCTCCAAAAGGCGACGACATTTGCCACACTGTCCGTCGCTTTTTAGTTAAAATATTTTTTAAAAAAATTATTTTACAAAAAGTGACGGACGATATCTCTTAGTCTGTTTCGTGGATTTTTGCGCCAAATATATATATACGTCGTCCGTCGCTTTTTATTAAAAAGAATTAATTTTTAAATAAAATATTAACCACGTTGTCCGTCGTTTTTGAGTTATTTTTATTTATTAATTATTTTTTAAAATTTGCGACGGACGACATCTCTTAATCCGTCGCTTTTTGGTCAAATAATTGCTCAATCATATTTAAAAAGCGACGGACAGTGTCGTTTAGTCCGTCGCTTTTTAGTCAAAATGTTGATCAAGCATTTTTAAAAGAACGATGGACAAAGAGATGTTGTCCATCATTTTTTAGAAAAAATTTGGGAGACAAGATTGTATTTTTCTCATCTCTTCCCCTCTTTCTCTCTCTAATTCTCTCCTCACCCAGTCGCGTCGTCGTTGCCTGCTCGCTGTCGCTACTGCTTGTTGCTTGCCGCTGCCTGCTCCCCTCGATCTCTCATTCTCTCCTTCTTCTTTAAAGGTTAGAGTTTAATAATTCATCAAAAAAAAATCTAATTTGAGTTATATTGATTTTGTTAGTTAGTTTATTGAATTTGTGTTTATTGATTGTTGGTTTGAATGATTTATTGTTAGTTAGTACTTGAATTTGGAATTTTTTATTTTAGGATTAGTTTGAATTTGGGATTTTAGGACTAGTTTGAATTTGGAATTTTACAATTAGTTTGAATTTGAGATTATAGGACTAGTTTGAATTTGAGATTTTAGGACTAGTTTGAATTAAGGTGTTTAAGGACTTGTTTGAATTTGAAATTTCAGGATTAGTTTGATTTTGAGATTTTAGGACTAGCTAGTTTGAATTAGATTATTTTAGGACTACCCAGTTTGAATTAAGGTATTTTAGGATTTGTTTGAATTTGGAATTTTAGGACTAGTTTGAATTAGTGTATTTCTTGAGTATATTGAAGAAATACCCTAATTTAAACTAGTCCTAAAATCCCTAATTTAAACAAGTCCTAAAATACCTTAATTCAAGAAAGCTAGTCCTAAAATACTTTAATTCAAACTAGTCCCAAAATCCCAAAATCAAACTAGTCCTAAAATCCCAAATTCAAACAAGTCCTTAAATACCTTAACTCAAACTAGTCCTAAAATCTCAAATTCAAACTAATCCTAAAATTTCAAATTCAAACTAGTCCTAAAACATCCTATTTCAACTAGTCCTAAGATCCCAAATTCAAACTAATCCTAAAATCAAAATCCCAAATTCAAACACTAACTAACAATCAATAAACACAAATTCAATAAACTAACTAACAAAATCAATATAACTCAAATTGAATAAAAAATTGACGAATTATTAAACCCTATCCTTTAAAGGAGAAGGAGATAATGAAGAGAGGGGAGCAGGTAGCGGCGGCACGACTGGTTAAGGAGAAAATGTCAGTCGCTTTTTTAAAATGTTTGACCAGTTATTTGACCAAAATAGATTAATCAAGATAACCCAAAAAGATAGATCTGCAATTAGATGATAATGTTAAATTATGAACTATAGAAACTTCTTCATAGATAAATTGCCAATGGAAAATTTATATTATTAGGATACAAGTTTAAAATTACTCTATCGATTTCATATAAAAACCTATATCAAGGGGGAAAAAACCAAATATAAGAAAAATCAACACTAGGAAATCTAAATATATGATGAATTTGCAATATCTACCTAAAAATAACACTACAATAAATCTTACTTAAACTAAATAGATAAAAATAAACCAACAAAAAGAATATTAGTGCAACATGAAAAAATTTTAACTCATTAAATTTTGAAAAAGTGTAAAGGCCTTAATGGGACTAAATATGGGAAGAAGGCTAAGTTGAATTACCTTGGAGTAATCATTAGTCATATCTTGAATAATATAATCAGATGGAAGCTTTCTACATTTTTCAATTTCACATTGTCGTGAACCTTCTCCAATTATATCAATAGAAACATCCACGATAGCCCAGATATCTTCACCATGTTGATAACAGAAACGAAGAAAATTCAATTTACAGACATCAACTAAATTAGAAACAATTTGAAATTCACTTTAAATCTGTAAATCAATATTTTCAGTTTTTAGAGTAGGAAATAATAAAATAAATAAGATATGTGACTCCAATAAAATAAAGAGTAAGAAGAAATACCAATAGCATGGTACCATTCATGTCTCCACCTATGTTAATGGTAGATATATATACTACAACTTTTGTGTTGACCGGGCGGAGAAGTGAATTCACTTTGGGTAATTTCGTAATTTGATTACCAAAAAAAAAGTATTTCGAATGTAAGAAATGTGATTTTCTAAAGTCAAAGATATTTCAATAAAAATGTGATTAGTGGTAGATATACTATAACTTTTGCATTGACCTGGCAGAGAAGTGGATTCATTTTGGGTAATTTCGTAACTTGGTTACCAAATAAAAGTATTCAGAATGCTGCACATGTGATTTTCTAAAGTCAAAGATATTTTAATAAAAGTATGATTATTGGTAGATATACTATAACTTTTGCATTGACCGGACGGAGAAGTGGATTCACTTTGGGTAATTTCGTAACTTGATTACAAAAAAATAGTATTTCGAATGCGACAAATGTGATTTTCTAAAGTCAAAGATATTTCAATAAAAATGTGATTAGTGGTAGATATACTATAACTTTTGCATTGACCAGGCGAAAAAGTTGATTCACTTTGGGTAGTTTCGTAACTTGGTTACCAAATAAAAGTATTCTGAATGCGACAAATGTGATTTTCTAAAGTCAAAGATATTTAATAAAAGTATGATTATTGGTAGATATACTATAACTTTTGCATTGTCCGGACGGAGAAGTGGATTCACTTTAGGTAATTTCGTAACTTGATTACAAAAAAAAAAGTATTTCGAATATGACAAATATGATTTTCTAAAGTCAAAGATTATGATTATTGGTAGATATACTATAACTTTTGCATTGACCGGACGGAGAAGTGGATTCACTTTGGGTAATTTCGTAACTTGGTTACCAAAAAAATGTATTTCGAATGCGACAAATGTGATTTTCTAAAGTCAAAGATATTTCAATAAAAAAAAATGTGATAAGTGGTAGATATACTATAACTTTTGCATTGACCTAGTGGAGAAGTGGATTCACTTTGGGTAATTTCGTAATTTGGTTACCAAATAAAAGCATTCAGAATACGACAAATGTGATTTTCTGAAGTCAAAGATATTTCAATAAAAGTATGATTATTGGTAGATATACTATAACTTTTGAATTGACCGGACGAAGAAGTGGATTCACTTTGGGTAATTTTGTAACTTGATTACAAAAAAAAAAAAAAGTATTTCGAATGCGACAAATGTGTTTTTCTAAAGTCAAAGATATTTCAATAAAAAAATTGATTAGTGGTTGATATACTATAACTTTTGCATTGGCCAGAGGAGAAGTGGATTCATTTTGGGTTATTTCATATCTTGATTACCAATAAAAAAAGTATTTC